ACTAAGCTAAGAATCACTAACAAACATGTTTTAGAAACATGTTTTGAAATAAAGAATTACACTTCTAAATAATACTTGGATCCAAAAAGAAAGAAAAATGTAAATTAGAAAAGACTTTTAACTGCGTGGTCATTAAAGTACTTCATATCAAAACTTGTGGGAAGCAACTAAGGCTGTGCTTATTAAGGAGAATGTTATCATCTTAATGGAATATGTTACTGTTCTCAGGTACTCTTTAGTCGATTTCACGTACAGTGACTCCATGTGACAGTGTAGAACTGCTTCATCTTAGTGTTTCCTGTAAAACTTTACAGAAGCATATCACCAGGTCTCTCTTCCATGAAGTTGTTGGGTAGGGTCAGACTGCCAACCTTCAGTTAGCAGTTAATAGTTTGACTATGGTGCCACCAAATCAACAAATCCAAACACCTTTGCCGTTGGTTTCATTCCAACTCATTGTGACCCTATAGTATATAGTAGAACTGCTACAAAGAATTTGCAAGGCTGTAAACTTTATGGAAAGAAGCTCTAGTAGCGTAGTGGTTACAAGTTGTATTGCTAACCTCATGGTCAGCAGTTTGAAACTACCAGCAGTTCTGCGGGAGAAAGATAAGGTGTTCTTCTTCTGTAAAGATTTATAGCCTAGGAATCAGGATTGGAGGATGACTCATTAATAATCCGTGATATGCAGATGATACAACCTTGCTTGATGAAAGTGTAGAGGACTTAAAACATTTACTGATGAAGATCAAAGAGCATAGCCTTTGGTATAGATTACATCGCAATGTAAAGAAAACAAAAATCCTCACAACTGGATTCTTATCAATGGAGAAAAGATTGAAGTTGTCAAACACTTCATTCTTCTTGGATCAACCATCAACACTCGCTGAAGCAACAGTCAAGAACTCAGGGGACATGTTGCATTAGGCAAATCTGCTGCACAAGACCTTTTTAAAGTGTTGAAGAGCAAAGATGTCAGCTTGAAGACTCAGGTGTGCCTGACCCAACCCATGGTAGTTTCAATAACCTCATATGCATGTGAAAGCTAGACAGTAAATAAGGAAGACTGTAGAAGAATTGATGCTTTTGAGTTACAGTGTTGGAAGAGAATATTGAAAGTGCCATAGGTTGCCAAAAGAAGCAACAGATCTGTGTTGGAAGAAGTGCAGCCAGAGTGCTTCTTGGAGGCCAGGACGGCCAAACTTCCTCTTTCATACTTTGGACATGTTGTCAGGAGGGACCAGTCGCTGCAGAAGGATATCATGTTTGGTGAGGTGGAGGGTTAGAGAAAAACAGGAAGACCCCCCAACGAGTTGGATTGGCCAAATGGCAGCATCGATGGACTCAAGAGTGGCAACAATAGTGAGGTTGGCCCAGGATCGGGCAGTGTTTCGTTCTGCTGTGCATAAGGTCACTATGAGTCGGCACTGACTCAATGGCACTTGACAACAACAACATACTCTACTAGTGGAGACAGGTAAAAACAACTATAGCAAAGAATTGAGAGATACATGTGGGATAAGTGCTATCAGAACACCCTTAGTTTGCAGCAAAAAAGGAATGAGGTGAGAGGGGGAAACATGAAATCTTTCACTGGACTAAAATAGTTCAGCCCAGCCCTAAGACATGGTGGTTCCTTCTTATATCTATAATAGAATATTTCAATGCAATTTTAGATGTACACATAGCTAAAATCTTATCTGCATACACAGGAAAATTCTTGAGTTGAATGTCATGGCAGCAGCTCCTAACAAAACCAAGAGAACATTATTATTCATTTTTTAGTTAATTTAAAGGCCACCACTTTAAAATAAAAAAGTTCTTTGATGTTCTAATTCAAAACTCAAGGACTTCTGTCTTCTCCCTATAACTAATTGGAAAACCTAAAATGGGGCTCCAACTTGCCCAGTGAAGGAAGCTTCCTGCAGAACCTCTGCACTGCAGAAGACCATAGGTGGAATCCTGAACCCCATCCAGAATCTTCTGAGGTGGGAGACTTCCAGTGGAAAGGACAAGCAGACCAGCCTGGAGCGGCTAGAAGAACAGAAGATACTTCCTCAAAGAAAGGCAGACAGAAAAAAATACAAAACTACAACGGCAGTCTGACTGACTACTACAAGAACAAGGAAGTTTCTCACCCAGGAGACATCAAGCCAAGTGGTAGGGTCCCATCAGGGCAAAACCCCTTCCAAGACTAAAACTCAAGGGGAATACACCAGCAGACATGCGGTCTGACTGGTGACCACATTGGTTACCAATAAGGGGAAGTGAGGGGAAAACTGCAATGAAGCAACAAGCTAAGTCCTACCACATTCAATAGACTCTTGTGAACTTGGGTTGAGACCTGGTTGGCCAGCATTTTGGCAAGACCTGGGGACTCTTGGGCCCAGAGTCAGTGACATAGCCACAGAGAACTAGAGTGGAGAGTGAAGCGTCCAGCTGATAAGATGTAAGGGCATATGCATAAGAACACCCACTTGACCTGACTTCAATGGCTGGATAATCAAAACTCAACTAGAAGAAGAAAAAAAGAGTAATCTGATATAATTTGATGAACTTGACCTACACCTATGGATGCAGTCACTCAAAAGAGGGAACAAATTTTTACAGCAAGGATCATTCCCACCCCCTACACAGGGTAGACAGGGATGGGCAACTTGGACATTGGCTACCCAAATCGGGAGGGCTACAAAGGCAAGAAGTGACTGGCTTACAAGCTTACAAGAGGGAGCCTAGATCCAGAGGGTGTGGAGCAAGGTAGAATCTCCACTGAGTAGTATCTAATCTGTCTGGGCGGGACTGGCGAAAAGAGATGGGGATAGGTCTCTTGTGGTACAATAGTGAATAATTGCTGTCAGAACTGACTGTGAGGGTTGTAAATGTAAAGGTAGATGTTTTATAACAAAAGGAGGGGAGTGGCAGACTTGTCCAGGAACGGAGGACCATCAAAGGAGAAGAACAGAGTATGGGACCCCACCCAGAGAAACAGTGACACCAGAGATGTAGGCAGAGAAGATGATGTGGAGAGATGGAGCTGCTGGGATTTCTAGACCCAGAGAGGGAGAGGGACTGTGTGCTGATGACCGAGTGGCAGGCGTGCAAGAGTATACCCTTTGGTTGCTTGATGATGCATGGAGGGGATTGTAACCATGGCAATGAAACCATATACGATAGGATGAATGTAAAGCTAATGTTCTTCCATATAAACTATCACATAATTCACAAAAAAACATTAAAGAAAAACAACAAGGACTTAAATTTTCTTTTTTTTCCTGGTTATAAAATACTTACATGCTCATTGTAGAACATCTGGGAAATCAGGAAAATACAAAGAAAACAAAAATCCATAATGTCATTACCATTGTTGTTGCTGTTAAGTGCCATCGAGTAGGTTCTAACTCACCCTGTCAGGATTTCTGAAGAGAGGCTGGTGAACTTGAATCGCCTACCCTGCGGTTCAAACTTACCTTATAGTCTAGTGCTATATCCCACAGTGCCACACCAGGACTCCACTACCATGCTGTCCTTAAGTGCCATAGAATCACCTTGGTCCTATAGCGACCCCTGTATAGGGTGTCCAAGGAGCAGTGGTGACCTTGAACTGCCGACCTTGCAGTTCAAATGGCTTTGCAGTCTGGCGCTGTAACCCACAGCGCCACACTATTACCATAGCTATTGTAAATATATTGGTTCATTTCTTGAAATTAAAAAAAAAATGCTTTTATAGTTTCTTCTGAAACCGTTGGATTCACAGTCCCTTTGCACTGGAAAAACTTTTAACTTGGTTTAAACTACTTTAGTGGGCTTTTTCATTAAGGAAACGACTCTGTGATCTTATCTATATATGCAGTTACAGGGCAGCATTTACCCACACAGGCCCAGCATCATGGCCAAATAGAATTCTTTCTTAGGAAAACAAACTAGACAAACACCTGTTGGGTGGAATTATTACAAATTAATTAATTTTCCTAAACATAGTTCTTAAGTTTGAGTAAAGGTGAGAATTTCTATGCAGTTTTAGAACTTTTTTCCATTTCAAAGATATAATGAGTGTTTCCGTTTCCTCAAATAGTTTTCCTACACATAGTTCTTAAGTTTGTAATAATTCCACCCTTCAGGTGTTTGTCTACTTTGTTTTCACAAGAAAGAATTCTATTTGACCTCATGCGGGGCCTGTGTAGGGAGTCCTAGTGTTAGCGATGTGGGTTAATGAGCTGGACTGCTAAGTCAGTTTGAACCTCAAGGTCGGCGATTAAAGCTCACCAACTGCTCCTTAGAAACCCTATACAGGATCGCTATGGGTCGGAACTGACTCGATGGCACTTAACAACAACCGCATAAGTAGATAGATCACAGAATCATTCCCTAATTGAAAAAAGCCTACTGAAGTATTTCAAACCAAGTTAAAAGTTTTACCAGTGCAAAGAGACTGTGAAACCAACAGTTTTCAATTCTTCCCAAACATGAATCATCTCGAGGTTATCTTGCAAAAGAGCCTTCAATCCACTCAACTGGCCCCAAAGTTATGCAACGTGGCTAAAGTCTAGTTAAAGGTTCTGTTGGAACACTGGGACCTGGCAACGACGGCGGAGGCTCCACTGGGACCGGTCCGCAGAGTCCCCGCCTTTGAAAGTTTCTCTGAGTCCCGCCCGAGAGTTTGCCCTTTCCATCTAGGTTTAACACATGTCAACGGAATAATTTCCCGGGTAGTCCCCCACCCCGCCACAGTATACTCTTCAGCTCCCAGACTTCCAGCCAGACATTGCAGCGCGGAACGCCGAGGGTTCGCGTTTCTCTCGGACTCGGTGTCTGAGCAGCGCAAGCTCTCTCGCTCTGCCTGGCGGCGCAGCGCACCCGCCTCTTGCGAGAGTCCGACCAGGATTGCGCTCCCTGCGCGCGCCTATCGGAGTCCCAAGTACTAGTCGCAGGACTTAACTTGGGAGGAGCGCGCCCCGGATCCCCGCCCTGTCCCATTCCCTTCCCCCTCAACCGGGAGCGCGCAGGCGCAGCGACCCGGAGACCCGCCAGCGGTCCGGCAGCCTGTGGTCACGTCCGAGTCATTGCCGCTACCGCCAGCGCTACCGCCACCGCACACCATGGGCACTGATCCCCGGTTGCTGTTGACTCTCATGCTTTGCATGGGGCTTAGCGCGCTCGTGCTTTCTTCTGGGACTTCGGGCGCCCGCAAGCGAGGCCCCTCGGTGACGGCCAAGGTGACCGAGCGTTGGGCTAGCGACTTTCCCCTCTTGCCAGCCGGAGAGGGGAGAGGAGGGGGACGGGTACTTTCTGGGCTGAGATCTTTGACTCTGTGGACACCCAGGAGGGAGCTTCTCCCGGTGCTGGGAGACGGGAAGCGGCGACGGGGTTAGGTGAGAGGGGGCTGCCGGGCGCAGAGGACCGGCGTTTTCTTGGGGAAATTTCGGGAGTGCTGGGCAGAGTTCCAGCCAGCCCCGCCGTCGCCAGCAGTTTAAAGTCAGTCTCCCGGGTCGATGATCAGATGTGACCATCCTCGGAGCGAAGAGAGGCTTCCGTAACCCCTCTTTCTTCAGGAAGGAGCTGGATGAGTACTTCCTTCAGCGTGGCGGCTTCTCGAGAACAGAAGCTGGAAGAATGTGGGAGGGACGGGGACTGGCGGCCGAGATGCGCTCGTTGCGAGGTTGCAGCCAGACCGCCTGCTGTCAACGTCACCAGACCTGGAGGAAGGAGCCCAAGTCCCACCTAAAACCCCAGGGCGGCAGACGCCCTTGTTGTTGTTGTTGTTGTTAAGTGCCGTGGAGGCAGTTCCGACCCATAGCGACACTGTATAGGGTTTCCAAGGAGCGACTGGTAAGCTTGAACCGCTGACCTTGCGGTTCAAACTAACTTTGCAGTCCTGTGCTAAAGCCCACAGCGCCACACCAGGGCTCCCAGTAGGGATTAAATGCCTAGTTTAAGTGAGAGGCTCTCCGCTTCCACCGTTTCCTGCATCTAGACACGGTCGTCCCTCCCCAGGGGACAGATGTGTACCCAGATTTTAGGTGCTGGTAAACCGGCTCAGGCTAAAACGTCACCTGTATGGCCAGGGTCAGCCTTGCGTCTCAGCTGTGGACTACATCTTGACAACTTCATCTTTACACCACCTTAGTTCTTTTTCAGCATATTTGCCTCAGGGTGAAAGGTACTAGGAGAGTGCTGGAGGCAAGGAGAGTGAAAGAACGAGAGAATACGTTGGTGTCCATGATCACCACTTCTAGAAAATCCACTTATGGTAGTGCTTTGGAATTGGGTCAAGGAAAGAGGGTGGAGGAGACTGAAAGTGCACGTAACAGCCATTCCTGTGTTTGCCAGTGGAAAAAGGTGCTGTTAAACCAGCGAAATATCTAAATCTTCTACATCTTCTACACAGACCCCATGGAGGGAAGACAATGAGGGTGGGTAGGGAAAAGTTCCAAAGGGCCTGGTAAAATTCTTACCTTACATGAGGTAGATCTGATTTGATTCCTATCCAACACATCTCGTACATAGCTCATTTGTCATTGGAGATTTGTGTATTGCTATGGATTACTGGTGTGGCGCTGTAGGATCCGCACAGAAGTGCAAACCACAAGGTCAGCAGCTCAAACCCACCAGCTGCTCCTAGGAAACCTTATATAGAGTTGTTATGAGTCAAAACCGACTCAACAGCACTTAACAACAACAATGATGCTGAACAGGTTTCACAAGAGTTTCCAAACTAAGATTAGAAAGAACGGCTGGTGACTGAGCAGTGGACAGGCATTTTTTCAAAAATTCAGCCAAAAGTTCCTTGTGGGTTACCAGGAGATCAACTCTAAGGAAGCTAACAACAATTAAGAGGAGGTTCTGACCAACAACAAATGTTGCAGAAGGAGAGATCTGCAAGGAGGTGATACATTTTGCCTAGCTGTTTTGAGAAGCGTTGATTGTAATCCCAGCGCCTTGGTTTTTTGTATATGTTTGTTGTTAAAGTACCACTGAGTCAGTGCCATGCATAATGACCCTGTATAGGATCTCCAAAGGAACTCTGGTAGTGGACTGGATTATGAGCTGGGCTGCTAACCACAAAGTTTGAATCTACCCATCACTCCTAGGGAGAAAGATGAGACTTTCTGCTCTGGTAAAGATTTCCAGCTCCAGAAACCCTATACAGGGTCGCTATGACTCAAAATCAACTCGAGCATGTAACCACCACCACCATAGAGTTTCTGAGACTGTAAATCCTACTCCTAAGGAGCAGCTGGTAGGCTCGAACCTCAGATCTTTTGGTTTTCCATGCCATATAGAGCTAACGGTCTATTGTGGGAGACAAAATTAACAGGAAAGAAATTATTACAAATGTTTCTGTGATGAAGGAAATGAACACTAACATGGGTCCTGGCGTGGTGCTGTACGATAAGCTCTGGACTACTAATTGCAGGGTCAGTGGTCACATCCACCAGCTACTCCTTGGAAATCCTATCATGTTTGCTATGAGTGAGAACTGACTTGATAGCACTTAACAACAGCAACACAGATGGGTAAAGAACATAGATGTCACAACATAGATGACACTATCACTGAGGCAGAGTTTACAAGCATTCTGCTCAGAATTGCCACTGGAAATGTTTCCTTTTTTTCCAGCCAAATTTATCAAGTTGTTGGGCTGCTAACGGCAAGGTCAGCAATTCAAACCTGCTAGCTGCTCCAAGAGAAAAAGATGAAGCTATCTAATCCCATAAAGATTTACAGGCTGGGAAACCATATGGAGCAGTTCTACTCTGTCCCATAGGGTCGCTGTGAGTTGGAATTGACTCGACAGTAGGATGACATTTAAAAACACCTAAAGGACAAGAAAACGAGCAGACATAGACTTAGGAGGAAAGGGAACTGCATATTAAAAGGTCTCTAGAAAGGAAAGTGATCAATATGTTCAGAAAATGGAGAGAGGATTGATGTAGTTCTGAAAATGAGAAAGATGAGTGTCATGTCATGTGGTCGGAGGGACAATCAGCAAAATCCTACAGAGTCTTGGAGACAACAGCTAGGAGTGTGGGTTTTGAGGCCTTGGTATAAATCCTAATCTAAATGCAGTTGGAAGAAGGGTTTTAAGCCTGTAAATGATTTGCTCTCATATATGTATGCTTTTACAAAATTACTATAGTCACCTAATAGCGGCTACTCAGGGCTTCATAAAACAGTTGAAATTACAGTGGCTAGGATTAGGGTGCTAACTGTGGACATGGGAAGAGGAAATGAATTTGAAATACATTTTGAAGGTAGAATTGAGGACTTGATAGGGATTAAGGGAAATGGAGCAGGGTTGCCAGAGAAAGAATACCAGTTAAATGGAATTTCAGATAAACAATGAATACTTTTTAATTGTAAGTATGTTGTTATGTGCCGTCGAGTAAATTCTGACTCATAGTGACCTTGTATAGGGTCTCCAAGGAGTGGCTGGTGGGTTTGAACTGCTGACCTTGGGGTTAACAGTCCAGTGCTTATTGTACAGTGCCACACCAGGACTCTATTGTAAGGATATCCCTTGCAATATTTGGGTACAAACCTCACCTGGGAAGCTCTTAAAAAAATAACACAGCAATTAACTCGTGGGCAATTAACTCATAATCTGGATGCACTGCCCAGTAGGGTATCATTTTAAAGCTTTCTTGGTGCTTCTAATGTTCAGTCTGGCTTCGAACCACTAGAAGAAGGAGATAAGAAAGGAGGAAGCTGAGGGCTGGGCTGAATGCTGGGAGAGGGATAAGTGTCCCAGCATACAATGACACTATCACTGAAGCAGGGTTTACAACGTTCTACTCTTGGAATTGCCACTGGAAATGTCTCCTTTTTTTCCAGCCAAATGTATCAAGTTGTAAAATCTAATTGTGCATGCGAGCCTTCTACAGCTTTGACTGTGTTGAATTATCTTTTCAGTGAACTCTTTAAAACAACTAAATTCATTGGAAAATGAATGCGTTAAAAATTAGTTCTCTGAAAGCAGAAAAGTAGATTAATTGGCCACTGCTCTAGTGTCCTGTTTGCCTCAGCAGAGTCCTTTCCTCTACTTCTAATTTCATTTTAAAATAGGTATCTGTAAATAACAGAGACATGAAGTGCTGTTCTCTCAGAAGGGACCTTGTGTGGTACTAAATTCAGCCACTTATCCCCACCGCAGGGTCAACTTGGCAGCTTTCTGCTCAAGCCATAGAGGCTCAGGTGAGGGCTCTGTCTGGCTCATTAGATTCATATCTGCTGAAGTGGTGTTTGAAGCCTGGCATTTCCCAGCAAATGCCAAATGCAGGGTCAGGCACTGAGAATGTACAAAATAGCACTGCCTTCTTTCCAGCTAGATTCACATGTCCCAGCTTGCAAGTACTTTGTATGTGGTGGTCAAGAGGCCATAGCTGGATAAACTTGGGCGAGTTAGCTGGTATCAGAGGCTCAGTTTCCTCTTCTGGAAGTAGAGACAGAAATAATAGCCCACAGTCCCTGTTTTAAGAGATCAGTTGTTTAGTGTTATTTACATTACTCTTGTTTTCCTACTGTAATAGCCAATCCCTGCAGGAAATCATCAACTTTATTTTACAGATGAGGAACTGGAGCTCAGTGTTTGTTTAATTTGCCCAAGGTCCCATAGCCAATAAGACTGGAGCTGGATTGAGAATAGGTTCCTTGATATCACAGCTCATATAGTCTGGATCTTCCTAATTACTTTAGAAATGGAAGCAGGATTAACCCTATAAGGTTTGGATCAGGCTGTGTGAGTACCTCATCTTCTTCCTGCCTGCCCTACCTCTAGGACCTTACACTTTTCAAATGATTTTCATAGGCAACTTTGAGGAGAAAACCCAAAGGTGATCGAGGTGTCAACTTCCGTGCCCCCTGTTGTTGTTGTTAAGTACCCTAGAGTCAGGTTCCGACTCATAGCGACCCTGCACAGGGTTTTCGAGGCTGCAAATCTTTACGGGAACAGAAAGCCTCATCTTTCTCCCGTGGAACAGCTGCTAGTTTCGAACTGCTGACCTTGCGGCTAGCAGCCCAATTCGTAACCACTACGCTACCAGAGCTCCTTTCCATGCCCCCTACCCCCTGTCAAAGTGCAACCTGAGCTCCAAGTACTGCCTCTTCCAAGAAGCCCTCCTGATGCCCACAGATAATCACCAGTCTTCACCATGACACTGTGTCCGTATTTGTCTTCTTTTAAAACTTGATTCCCCGTTATGTAACAGTTATTTGTTTGTGTGATTTTTCTTGGTTTGAACTGTAAACTCCCTGAGGGTAGGGATGTTATAGCCTCACATCTTGCCCTGTACAAGGCCTTATTCACAAGGGAACTCAGTCCAGTCAGAGACAGATATGGTTAAAGGGTAAGGAATGGGAGGGCTTGCCTGGTAGCTACTTTGGGTCCACCCTCATCTTCTGTCTGGTCTGGCTCTTATTCAGCAGCAGTTGGCACTAAGTTACTTAACTTTTTTTTTTTTTTAGTACTTACTTCTGCCAACATTATGCTGGGCACTGGAATCCAAACACACTTTCTACTCCATAAGGGCTCCATCACAATTGTTACCATGCTTGAGCCTCTTGTTGCAGCCACTGTGTTAATCCATTTCCTTGAGGGTCTTCCTCTTTTCACTGACTTTCTTTTCCAAGCATGATGTCCTTCTCTGGGACTGGTCCAAAGCACATGACACGAAGTCTTGCTGTCCTCCTTTTTAAGAAACATTTTGTCTGTATTTCTTCCAAAATGTGTTCATTCTTCTGACTGTCCATGGTATAGTCAGTATTCTTCACCGACATCGTAATTCAAAGGCATCAGTTCTTTTCCAGCTTTTCTTATCCATTGTCCAGATTTCACATTCATATGAAAAAATATCATGGCTTGGGACAGGCACATGTTAGTTCTCAAATTGACATCTTTGCTTTGTAATACTTTAACAGGGGCTTTTGCAAGTCCTCTTCTCTTGTAACAAAGCAAGTTTGTGTCACTTGTATATTGCTGGTTGCTTATGAGTCTTCTAATCCCAATGATGTATTAATCTTCATCTAGTCTAGTTTCTTGGTTTATAAACATATTTCACAGAGCATAGTTAAGTGTTCTGGAATTTCCGTTCTTCCCATTGTTCTCTGTAATATGTTATGACTCACACAATTGAATGCCTTTGTATGATCAAAAAAGCACAGGTAAACATCTTTCTGATAATTTCTGCTTTCAGCCAAGATAGATCTGATATGAGCAATGATATCCCTTGTTCCACATCCTCTTCTAACCTGACTTGAATTTCTAGCAGTTCTTGTCATTGTACTGCTACAACCATTTTTGGATTATCTTCCCCCAAATTTTACTTGTATGTGATATTAATGATAATATTAAATAATGCCTTGCATTCCCTTAGATCACTTATCTTTGGAACTGGCACAAATATGGATTACTTCAGTTGGCCACGTAGTTGTCTTGGACTTCTTTAAGTACCCTTGGTTCTTGGTCATATGCTACCTCCTGAAATAGTTGAACATTGACCAGTTCCTTTTGGTACAGTGACTCTCTATATTCCTTCCATCTTTTTTTGATGTGTCCTGCATTATGCAATATTTTGTCCATTGTTGTTGATATCATTGAGTTTGTGCCAACTCATAGTCACCCTATGTACAACAGAATGAAACACTGCTCAGCCCTGTGCCAACTTCACAGTCGTTACTATATTTGAGTCCATTGCTGCTGCACCAATCCATCTTGGGGGTGTTTCTCTTTTTCTCCGACCTTCCACCTTACCAAGGGACTCATCCCTTCTGATAGTATGTCCAAAGTATGAGAGATAAAGTCTGGCCATCCTGGCTTCCAGTGAGCATTCTGACTGTACTTCCAATATGGTTTGGTCTGTTCTTTTGGCAGTCCATGGGTCTTTCAATATTCTGCTCCAAAACCATAACTCAAATGCATCAATCCTTTCTACAGTCTTTCTTATTCACTGTCCAACTTTAGCATTCACTTGAGGTTATTGAAAAGGCCAACTTAGTCCTCAAACAGACATCTTTACTCTTGAACACTTTAAAGAGGTCTTGTGCAGCAGATTTGCCTAATGTAATATGTCAGTACGTCGTTTGGTTTCTTGATTGCTGCTTCCATGAGTGTTGATGGTTGAGCTGAGCAAAATGAAGTCTTTGACAATTTCAGTCTTTTCTCCATTTAGATGGATGTTGTTTATTGTTCCACTGGTAAGGATTTTTATTTTCTTCACACTGAGGTGCAGCCCATACTAAAGGCTGTGGTCTTTGATCTTTATCAGTATTTCAGGTCCTCTTCACTTTCAGCAAGCAAAGTTGTATCATTTGCATATCACAGGTTATTAATGAGTCTTCCTCAAACCCTGATGCCACATTCTTCTTCATATAACCCAGCTTCTCGGATTGTTTGCTCAGCATAATCTGAGAAGCTGCATTATAAAGTGTGCCTGACTCATGCCATTTTGTCCATAGAATCCTCCAACTTGAGACTTAAATTTTTCTTCAGTTCTTTCAGTTTAGGAAATGCCAATGGTGTTCTTCCTATTTGATTATCCAACTCCAGGCCTTTGCAGTATTAATTATAATACTTTACATAGTTGTTTTGAAGTGCCTTCAAGTTGATTCCAACCCATAGCAACCCTGTATAGGGTTTCTGAGGAGCAGCTGGTAAGCTTGAACCGCCGATCTTGCAGTTCAAACGGCTTTGCAGTCTGGCACATTAACCCACAGCACCACACCAGGACTCCACTTTACATAGTAGGTATGTATAATATAAGTAAGATTTTTATTGAAATATCATGCTGAACGACAGGCACTTTTTCATTCTGTTCTTAAGCTATTCTCACAGGTTTTACTCTCTGTCTCCTAAAACCCCACAGGCTTCACTTTCTCTTATTTTATTTATTCATTCTGTCTTATTTTTAAAGTATGGAAGGCTTCCCTAATGTTTCTCTAATATGTTCCTAATTCTCTTTGAGGGTGCTGCTCCATTACTGCCTGTTATTGAATTTCCACTTTGGCTTAGAAATCCCTTTGGAGAACCTGCATCTCTGTGGCACCAGCTGTGCCACAGGTTTTGTTGAGACACTTTCCTTTCCCAGCCACTGCTGAGTTGTTCTCTACTGGCGTACCTCATCTCGAAGACGAGGCCCTTTTATGCATTCTGGAAAGCTCTCCTAAATAAATAATAATAACATTTATGTTGCTTTGGTCATGTAAAAATTGTAAAATGCCACATGGAACACTAAATATCACATCATCCCATGACAGATGTGCTGATGTATTGGCAGAAGCCCTTGTCTTTAAGCTAAAGCTTGACAGTCTTTACTTAGTGATTTTTCTAAACTGTAAGACATCTTTTTTCTTTGACAGCCTTCTTATATATTTTTTAAAGCTATCTCCTGAATATCTTTTTTATCTTATTTTATTTTATTTTACCCATTCAAACAGTAAATTGGTTCGTATAATCTAAACTCACTAATAGAATGCCCTTTGACTCCATGGCCTTTTCAAGCATTCAGCCTCAGAATCTTCTTAATATAATGATTTGTGAAGAAAAATGACATAATTCCTTTTTGGATGAAACAATTGGTGAGAAATAAAACAACAACAACAAAAAAAACCATCCCAAGAGAATTTTAAAAGTAAGTGATTCACACCCACTTCTTGGATATATGTTCTCTTTCTCTGTTCTAAAACGTTGTGGCAGAGAAAGAACAAATTCTACTTCTATAACACTGAGAACGTGACAGCTAAACTCAGTGTTTAGTTTTACAGGGTAAATGACTTTGTCTGGCCCTGCGTGTAGTGTGTGTTGTACATTGGATGAAGGTGGGAACCTGGTACCTAATTGCGCTTGGGAGTGAGTAGCAGGCCTTTGAAAGGACTGTGGCATTTTTGTCATCTTTTGTGGTCCCCTGGATATTAGACATCTATTGAGAACTCAAGACTGAAAATTTGGCATTGTGCAAAGTTATAAAAATAAGTAAGTAAATATGCATGGATATTTTTTATCACCATATTTATCTCCTGCTGCCATTAGAGAGTATTGTGGCGCTATGGGTTAATACACTGGACTTCAAAGTCAGTTTGAACCACAAGGTTTGCATTTCAAGCTCAACAGCCACTCTTTGGAAACCCTATACAGGGTCACTATGGGTTGGAACCGACTTGATGGCACGAAACAACAACAACAACCTTTCAAAAGAGCAACAATTTCCACTTTCATCCTCATCCACAAAGCTGAGAAACTGGAACTAGCAGCAGTGTTTAGGGCATTTGAGAGCCAAGGGTAAAGGAGGGAAGGAGTAGAATTCGTAAAGATTTTATTGGTTAATGCTGACAGTATTGAATCAAACATTAAACCCAATGTCTTATACAGTGCCTGGCCCACAGGTGGTGGTTGTTGTTAAATGTCATCACATCAGTTCCAACTCATACTGGCCCTGCATTTAGGGTTCCTAAGGGTATAAATCTTTGTGGCGGCAGAAAACCTCATCTTTCTTCTGTGGAGCAGCTGGTGGCCCATAGGTGGTACTCAATAAATATTTGTTGAATGAATACTTGTGAGTGAAATGCTCTCAACAAAATTATTTTAGAGCTCCTTTAATTGATATCATATTTCTTCATACCTTTGCTATAAAATACTGGTGGACAAGGCTTTGTATGTTGTTCAATTCTTAGGATCTCATTTTTGACATATATAAAGCTTTTCTAGGATATAACCATTTCTCTCTTCCAATTATGTGCAGGTCTTCTTTGATGTGAGGATTGGAGACAACGATGTTGGTAGAATAGTGATTGGCCTGTTTGGAAAAGTTGTACCCAAGACTGTGGAAAATTTTATCGCTCTGGCAACAGGAGAAGTAAGTATGTCTCATTTTATTTCCTTTAACGGTTCATGAAATTGGATCGTCCTTCTTTTAATTCAAGTATAGAGACAGTGTTAAAGTAATAGTTGAGATGACGTAATGCAGTTTACTTATTTTGCTATAGAGTTTATATTTATAAAATCTTAGGTTTCAAGAAATGGAAATAGTCATCAAGTGGAAATGCACATTGCTCTACTTTTTACCTCATTCCCATGGTTTATTACACAATTCCCTATTTCTATAGTTTATTATTATTACTATTGGCCAACTAATGACACATTTCTATCTACATCATTTCTGGGACCTAATCAAGTTCTATAGATGTCTTGTTTAATTTTCTTATTTTGTCATTACCAGATAAACACTGGGGGGTTATCTTTCAATGTGGGTTATATCTACTTGTATATTTAATTTAAATAATCTCTTCAGAAAGGATATGGATATACAGGAAGCAAATTTCATCGTGTCATCAAAGATTTTATGATTCAAGGAGGAGACTTCACCACTGGAGATGGCACTGGCGGTAACTTTATCTCTTGCATTTCTCCTTTTCCCTCTGACCAAATTGAACCTAAGATTAAGTCAATATGGTAACCCAGACTGAACAAACAAAGTCATAAAAACAGCTAAACTAATTAAAGAAAGATAGAACTTTAGGGCCTCATCTACCAAAACCTTAGTAGGTACAAATAATGAGGCATCCTAATTTTAAATGGTATTGTTTGATGTTCACTGTCTTTCCATAGTGGGACTATATTCACTTGGTAGAATATTTTGCACAGCCAGGTCTCATGAGAAAATCCTGCAGCTTTAGAACCTGTCTCCTTAGTACTGGCATGCTACTTCCCTACCTTCAGGCTCAGCAGAAATGCAATTTGAGCTTTCTCTGCCCTCTTTTCTGTTGTTTTCTCTCTCTTTCTCATTCTCCTTTTTCCTACCCTCTGTGGTTGTGTCATGAGCTAAAATTGTCTGAGATTTGGAGAAAAGACCTTTTGGGTTACTTACATTTATCCTAGACTACACTGTGGAGCAGAGCATGCCTGCCAGGCTACCACCTATGTCACTGACCAGCCTGCTATAAATAGCTTGCCTTTGATAGCCACTCTGGTCCCTCCAGCTGAGTCAGGTTTTTGCAGTTAGCAACCAGTGGCTAAGGTGTGCCAAAGGAGGACATGGGCTTGATGGGCTCTCTGAGGTGTTTAATAATAGGGCAGATGCTGCTCATACTCTTTAATGCTATTTTTTGGGGAAATGTGTTCTGCTTACCTGCTGCTTTGCTTAATCTTGGACATACCTTCCTTTGGTCCTTTTGTTCAAGGTTGGATCACTGGGGGCTCCCAGTTGTTGTTAGCCTCTGTGTCCTGAAGTCTTTATCCTAATGACTTTCAGACTAGCTGCTACAGCTTGTAGTGCTGAGGCAGGAATGAACACCTGCTTCAGAGTCAGAAAGTCAGATGTTCAAATTCTGCTCCCGTATTTTCAAGAATTATTGCCTGCTCCCATTGCAAAATGAGATTGAGAATACCTGTTGTATAGTGTTGCTGGGGAAATCAGCTAAGAGTGTATATCAAGTGCTTGGTATACTGTAGGCTGAGGTAGAACTGGCCCACCACACCTGAACTCAGTACACCTCAGGACAAGTGACTCATACCCTCACAGCAGAGGCTGAGCCACTAGGATGGGTCAGCTGTCTTTCCTTCTGGCTTTAGGATGCCTTTTGGTTTCTTCTCATTTCAGAGTAAAATCATTGACCCATGTGGCCCATATTGACACTTAGATTGAGGACAGAAAGTATCTTGCCACTAGGTGTCATATATAAGCTTTTTTATTTGTTTATTTCATACTCTGAAGCCCCGTTCCGGTAAGAGATATATTATTCTCTCCTTTATACCTCCTTATTTTTGCTCAACTTTTGCCCATCACCACATCCTATAGGCTTTTATTAACAGATTTCAGTAAAGCAGGGGTGGGGAACATCCAGCCCATGGGCCATATAAATATGGCCCTTGAAATCATTTGGTTTGGCCCTGCCAAGACAACCACAGTTCCAACCATCACATTAGGGTTGAGTTAATGAAATGTTTGACCAAATATAACAGGCTAATTTTTAAGTTGATAATTTTGTATGGCGCACGAATGATATTAGAAATTTTGGCAGAAAAAAAGGTTTCCCACCCTTGCATTAAAAGGAGCTCTGGTAGCATAGTGGTTACAAATCGGACTGCTAATCTCAAGGTCGGCAGTTCGAAACTAGCAGCTGTTCCACAGGAGAAAGTTGAGGCTTTCTGCTCCAATAAAGATCTACAGCCTCAGAAACCCTATGCAGGGTCACTGTGAATCAGAACCGACTCCACGGCACATAACAACAACAACAACTGCTGCATTAAAACCTAGGCTTTGCTTTGAAGTCTGATTTCATTTGACACTTGTTAACTCCTCTCCTTTTCCTTTCCTCTTTTCCAGGTGTTAGCATTTATGGGGAGACATTTCCAGATGAGAACTTCAAACTGAAGCATTATGGCATTGGGTGGGTCAGCATGGCCAATGCTGGGCCCGACACCAATGGATCTCAGTTCTTTATCACCTTGACTAAAACCTCCTGGCTGGATGGCAAACATGTGGTATTTGGAAAAGTCATTGATGGGATGGTAACTTGATATATTTATTTTAATCTTAAAATGTGCTTGCTAGAAAACTGTGATTATACCCAGACGGGTGGGTATTCAAGGTGAATAAACTTATTGTTGATGTTAAGTGCCTTCAAGACAATTTCAACCCATAGAGACCCTGTATACGATTTCCAAGGAGTGACTCATGGGTTTGAGCCTCTGCACTTGCAGTTTACACTCTATGCAGTGCTACACTATGACCCTGAAATTAATTACATGTGGTATGGTGAATTATATATAGCATTTTATATATACTAGGGAGCTTCAAAAGTTTGTAGAAACATTCCATTTTCTTTTCATTCCATATTTCCACAAGCTTTTTTAAGCTCCCTTGTGTGTATATGTTTGTATGTGTGTGTGCATATATATGTTGTTGTTTAATGCCGTCTAGCCAGTTCTGCCTCATAGACACCCTGTATAGGGTTTCCTATGATAATTTTGTATGGCTCACAAATGATGTTAGAAAGTGTTAGAAACCCTGTGTAGGGTTTCCTAGGGCAGCTGGTTAGCTTGAACCGCTGACCTTATGGTTCAAACCGACTTTGCAGTCCAGCTCATTAACCCACAGTGCCACACCAGGACTCTGTGCATATATAGAGATAGAGATAGACAGAGATAGAGGTTTATAATATTTTATATACAAAAGGGCTTTAAAAAGTTCATGGAAAGATGGAATTAAAAGATAATGAAATTTTTCCATGAACTTTTTTGAAACTCCCTCATATAAGTGTGTGTATATTCTTTTTTCAATTGTTAGGAGTGTTGGACCAGTAGTTAGAGGCTTGACATGGACTTTATCTCACTACTTGATGTAAATGAAAAGCCCTTTTTAATGTAACCAAATAAAGGCAAAGCCACATCCAAACTCAAGTCACATTCAAAGACCTATGTTCTTGCTATCAAAAATTATTAAAGACAATCTATATCTATGCTGGCATGTCCCAAAGAATATTAAAGGAATACACTCATAACCCACAGGAATTGCTTACAATTCTTATTCCCTTTCACTCTCAACATTTTTTCCTCCTTAGTAACTTCCCAAAGTAGCCTTCTTAATCATTAACTGTAAAATGTGTCCACCCCAATTCTGGACTATCCTTCACTCCCTTGCCCTCTAAAATTTTGTTTTGTTTTGTTTGTGAGTTATTCTGCTCCCCACGCCCCAATTCCAGTGTAAGTAAGCCAGTTTTACTCCTTACAATTCTTTAGCAACTTCTACTTGTTATTTTTAAGGTGCTCTGGTAGCGTAGTGGTTATGAATCGGGCTTTTAATCTCAAGGTCAGCAGTTTGAAACTACCAGCGGTTCTGCTTCTGTAAAGATTTACAGCTTCGGAAACCCTGTGCTGGGTCCCTGTGAGTCAGAACTGACTCCACGGCACACCAACAACAACCACTTGCTATTTTTATTTCTCTTCAACAAAAAGCCAGGAATGGAGCCAGCAGATTCAGAATGTCCCTCAAAATATGTGGTAGTATCAAGACTGAGCTGTCAAAGAATAATTCTCTTTAGCATGTGGAATGAGAGAAATGGAGCAAACATCTATCACTAACTATCTCTTTACATCCCATCACGGTAAAGACACACCTACACTCTCACAAACCATAATTATCCTTAGAAGAATCTATTTTTAAGTAATAATGAATGCCAGCATTCCTCAAATCTCTTATTGAATTTTGTTTTTGAAATGAGCTAAAGATTGGCATGCAGGTGTTAAATCACATTGGGCATAACCAGGTTTGAAATACTTTGAATGTAAATTCATTCATTCATTCACTTAATGAGTGTTTTTAAATACAATATCATGCAAAGTTGTAAGAAAAATCAGCAGTACAAGTCTTTTGTATTCCTCTCCTATTCATGCTCTTGACATCTTCTCACCCTCTAGATTTTATGTTCAATTGCCTTACCTGCACCAACTTCCTTCCACCCATTGGTGTGCACCTGGGGAACATTGCTGCCTGGGCTAAGAGAACTTGTTCTTAACCTTTTATGAGTCAAATACTTCTTTGAGAAACTATTGAAAGCTATAGACTTTCTTTCCAGAAAAAAAAAAAAAAAATCATGCAAAAATTGCCTATGGGAGTTTTTCATAGCTATGTGGAGTTGAAAGAATCTCCTGAATGCTCCTTCCCTTAATCTTTCCAGAGATCAGGGTTCTTTTTCACACTACAGTTGTCTGAGCCTCACCTCAGGCATTCCAAAGCAGAACCTCTAGATGTGTATCCATGAATATGCATTTTTTAAAAAGTAGCACTGATAATTCAGTTGTGTAGCTACTAATTTAGGTACACACACACATGCAACCTATATACATATATACATTATGATTAGAAGAACACTTGTCCTTTATCCTAACTTAATCTGAGTCCAGCCAGAGACCAAATTGTTTGGCACTATGTCCCAAGCTCTTAGACGCAGTGTTGCTGTTTGTCTCAACCCTATTTGTAAAACCTGTCAAAAGCCTACTCTTTTAGTCCTTAACCAGCTCTCCCATATCCGTGTGATGCATGGTACATGAACTTCTAAACTCCTCCAAAGTAGAGAAAGGGGCGTTCCTCTACTGTGAGTTTGGGCTCGTGTTAGTATCAGACTCAACCTCTAGATTAATGGCTTAACTCGTTTAAAAGTGGGCAGGCCACTTTATTATGCACGTGCTTATTACAGGCTGGAGCTGAGATTCAATTCCTGTCAACTCATACACTGAGTTGTAGCAGGTGTGCAGAAATGCCTTTTATTACAAGGAATTAACAAAAAATTAGTTTATTTTAGAATGCAAACTGCCTATAAAAAGAAGTGAGGAAATATATCTATATGTTCTCTGTCTAGCAAGGAAATGGAGGGATTTCATCTGCTATACACATACTTTCTCTGAATATACTAAATGTTTCATAGTTAGCTTGCATGGGTTTTATAGTCCTAAGAAAACTGAATTCACACTTGGGCTTTCTGACTTGATATTGGTTTTGCCTTTTGATTGCCATGGCTGCTGGTTAAAGTTCAACCATGTGTCTACTCTTTCTCACCAGACAGTGGTACACTCCATAGAACTCCAAGCAACTGATGGGCATGACCGTCCACTTACCGACTGCTGGATTGTCAACAGTGGCAAGATAGATGTGAAGACGCCCTTTGTGGTTGAAATCAATGACTGGTGACCCAACAGGCAGGGAAAAAGGAACACCCCTGGGGTGGGGGTGTGAGTGAATCTGTTGATTCTTCAAAGTTACTCCTTTGTTTTGTTTTGTTTTACTTTCTTTTCATATTCCATCCCACATCACAGAAACTTCTAAAAATTAACCTCGCAAAGCTAGAGTTGCATAAATATTAGGAAATCACTTGTTTTAGAGACTACCCTTAAGATGTATCTCCTCTCCCAATGGTGCTATATTTAAAGCAGAAAACTTTGTATTGATGATTTTGTTTTCAGACTATCATCAATATTTTGCTGAATTCAATGTGATTCCTATGTTATTCTGAATATTTGACTGAGAGAAAAAAAAAAAACAATGAGCATGTGAAGTTTATTATTTTTGTATTGAAATAATTTCTTTTCAGATTGTGGGAAAATGAATTAGTTTTATCTGATATATTTTATATGAATTTTTACCTGATAGAAAGTACTTTGATGTATTCTAATTAAATACTTTTTATACGGATCAATTCTTTTTGCAAGGCTTTTTATTTTTTATGGTCATTTAGGTGAAGCATACAGAGAAATTGGTTTTTCATTTAACAGTATCTACACATTTTGTTTTGTGACATTGATGACAATCTCCATAATGCAACAGCCCTCTTCCGACTTCCTTCCTGTGTTTTCCATTTCCACTCTTCTTGCCAATCCCTTCTGGCTTTCTGGGCTTTATCCCTGGGAAAATGCTGCCCTTTTGTTCTCATATGACTGAGTTTTCTAAGACGTGTGACCTGTCTGGTGGTGGTGTTCACCTTCTACGTCTGTCTGTTGTTTGACTGAAAGTTGAGCTATAGGGGGTGAGTTGATTTCAAGGCTTGAAGGGCCATAGTTTCAGGGGTCCCACCAGTGTTTATCAGACCAGTAAGCCAGGTCATTTTTTTTTTTTTAATGATTTTGAGCTTTTTTCCACAGTTTTCTCCCACTCCATCTAGGACCATGATGATCCTTCAGAGCAGTCAACAGTGGGGAGAGCTGGGCACCATCTAGTTCTGGTCTCAGCATCACACAGGCTGGGGTTTACATGGTCCCTTAGACCTTAGGACTAATTGTTTCCATGCATCTTTGATTATCTTCCTTTTTGTTTGCTCTGGAAAGGGTGAGACCAATAGTTGCACCTTAAATGGCTGCTCATAAGCTTTTAAGACCCCAGTTACTACTCACCAAAGTAGAATGTAGAATGTTGTGGACTATACTATGCCAATTGACCTGAATGGCCCCTGAAACAATGGTACAGAGCCCCCCCCCCCCAGTGACTCTTTCCCTCCAGGTGTTTGGTTATGGCTAAGGAGTTTTAATAACTTTGCCCCCTCTATGCTTTACTGTGTTCATATTTGCATACATATAAATGCATATTTAGAAGTACCCTCTGTCAAACCTGGATTTATCTGTGGGTGTAGTCCCATACACCTTCCCACCTTCCCATACCTGTTCATCTTCTGTGTCTAACTATATATTCACTCTTACTAAGTAGATTATTGTTACTACGGGCTTAGACTGTGATAGACTTTACCTTTGTTTCCTTTAATGCTTGTGCTGCACCATTGTCTTCATTCGTCTTGATCACCTTGTGCTGACCTTCCTCGTATTGTGTACTGTCTTTTCCACCAAGAAACCCTGGTGGCATAGTGGCATATGTACACATTGGGCTGCTAACCACAAAGTCTGCAGTTCAAACACACCAGTCATTCCTTGGGAGAAAGGTGAGGCTGTCTGCTCCCATAGAGATGTATCATCTCAAAAACCCAAAGGGGAAGTTCTAGTCTACGCTACAGAGTCACTGTGAGTAGGAGGATTTGGCAGATTTGTTTGGCTGTTTTTTCTATGGCAGATTTTGTTGGCTGTTTTTTCCCTTCACCCAAGTTAATATGTTTCTACTTTTTAAAATTTTTAATATATTTTTTTAATTAATGTACAAAAATGAGTGTAGTCTAATGTCAGTAACGAACAGTTTTAGAAATCAAAATACTAACAAAATTGGATAATTTGGTATAGTACTGTTCAGAAGCTATGCCCAGTCACATCCTAAATATGTAAGCTGATTATTTGCCAATTTTTACTTCATATAGCATCTTTAGAAAGATCCCTTGAGTCCAGTTGCAATAGTAAAGAATATTTTTCTCTTTAAAATAATGGTGGTTAAGACTTGGGCTGTATTTAAACTAGGCAGGAAAGTAAAACCCTATTCTATAGCCTTGTTATAATGTATCTGACTATAGGAGAGTCTACATTGAACTCTGTTCAAATGCTAAGTCTGTGGCTGGCACAGTTAAAAGTTCAGCTCGGTATTATAAGGTTGGCAGTTTGAATTCACCCAAAGGTACCATAGAAGAAAAGCCTGTCATCTACTTCTGAAAGACCACAGCCATTGGAAACCCTCTGGAGTACAGCTCTACTCTGAAACTCATTGGATCGCTGAAGGCAGAACCAAGGCAATAGCAACTGTTTTGTTATCTTTTTACCTGGTGGAAAATGATCCATTGCTTCTCCCCAAGGTTGAGTCTAAGAAAACTGCCTCAGTGAGAAATGAAATGGACATTCTTGCTGCTTGCTGATGGAAGTAGAAGTAGCTGCAACCGTCTTGGAGAGCAGCTTGTTGATTATTTTTCCAATCAACGTCCTTACTATGCCAGCTACCAGTGAGATTTGGGGATATAGCAATGGACGGTGAGAAAAGGGCCTCATGGCACTTACGTTCTAGTGGAGAAGCCAGAGAAGTAAAAAAGGGTGATGAGCGCTGTGAAGAAAACACATCAATTTTGCTGGAGATGCCTGGGTGGGACGTGCCATTAAAGCAGCCATGGGATGGCAATGGACCAGAGACCTGGAAGAAGGTAGGTGTCGGCCCAGGAAAATCGCCAAGAGGGGACTTTCTAGGTAAATGGAACAGAAAGTACAGGGTCCTGAGGTTAGAATGAATGAGGCCCAAGGCAGAAGAGAAAGCCTGGTGAGTAGTGGCAAGACTGGGGTGAGGCCAGAGGAATGAGGTGAGGCAGAACCATTTCTGGCTTGGCATGCCAGAGAAAGATCTGCATTTAAGCAAGATTATTTCTCCTGCTACAAGGAGATTTTTATAAAGAGGTTAAAATGGAAACAAGAGGGCATTTGTGATACACTGGTAGATTTCTTGCCTACCATGTGGGAGACTTGGAATTCTCCCGACCAGTGTGCTTCACGTGATACCACCCATCTGTCATGTTGCTATGATGCAGAACAGGTTTCTGCAAAGCTTCCAGAGTAAGACAGACTAGCAAGAAAGGCCTGGTGATCTACTTCCTAAGTCAGCCAGTGAAAACCCTATGGATCACAAGAGATGCTGTGCATTGAGGAGCATTTCATTCCTTTGTGCGTGCACCAAGAGATTCAAACATTCATATCCTGTAAGCTTCCCCATTCCTGCAAATTGCCTTTATTAAAAAGTGAACTAAAATCGTTATGGACATCCATTGTTTTGACCCGCCTAGCATTCAGTATTCCTTTTTCTGGCAATTGTTGCCCAATATTCTTACATTTTCTTTGGGGAATCACTCCACAAGGACACCAGTTCTTGTCTATACGTAAAGTGACATTAGGGGTGAGTACTTGCCTGGCCAAGTACACCCTCTCATTAAATCATTTGCGAAATATTTATTGAGTGCTGGATATTGCTGCAAATAGTTTCAGCTTTCGTTCCCATGGAAGAGACAAATAATATAAACCACATGAACATATAATAGAACGTCAGGCAGTGAAAGTTTGTGAAGAGAAACAGAACAAGAAAGGATAGTGAAGGTTAGCTTTTGGACGTCCTGAGTGGGGATTGAATGAAGTGAGGGGGCAGAAAGCCATGGAGATGCTCGGAGATGAGCAAGGGAGCAGAGTGGACAAGAGCAGTGACCCTCGGCAGCTGGGGGGATTCCAAAAAACAGCAAGGAGACCAGGTGTTCAGGATGGGTGTTTGACCCCAGTGATGTTCATTAATGAGCCTCAATCAGGGGGCTTCTGCTGGAAGTTTTGAAAGGAGCAGCTGTCTTTCTGCTGGGAGGATGTAAAGAAACAGGCCCCAGAGTGAAACTGGTACAGAGGCAAGCTGGTCCAGAAGATGGAAAGACAGTTAACTTAAGTCATTAGCTGGTGCCTGCATCTAATTGTATCTGAAGCCAATCTCCTTTTTAGCTTTTCAGTTATTCAAGCTAACACATTGATTTCTTGTGACTTGTAATCTGGTACAGAAATATTGCAAAATTCTTCATGTGTAAAGTTATGGATTGAAGAATTGTTGATGATAGCAAAATACTGCAAGCAACCTGAATGCCTCAAAATGGTTGTACAGCATATATCCTAGAAAAGAATGATGTGCATTCATTAAGGCCGATGCCATAAAACTTAAAAGTAACATGCAAAAATGATTGTTTTAAATAAAAATGTGGAATAGAAATTGTGGATGCAGCATGATCTCAATTATGTAGATATATTTTCACAAACCAAATGCAACAAAATGCAAATTCATATAAAACAAATGCAACTGGTGCTAATATATTTTGTTTAACTTTTTGTTTAATTCACTTTTTTCACTTACTTGCTTTTTCTCTAGAGTATGTTTTTTTTTTAATAATTAGAAAAAGAAAGCTTATTTTTAAATTTTAATAAAGTTAAAATGAGAGGAAACTCTTAGCAACTTGCCTCTTACCCATATAAGTCTCAAATACCAGAGAGTGTGCCAGCCGTTGTTATCCCACATGCAGGAGCTCTTGGGTGGTGCAAATGCTTAAGCTTTCAACTACTAGCTGAATCAAGTCCACCCACAAGTGACTTGGAAGATAGGCTTGGCAATCTGTTTTTGAAAGTTCACAATCTTAAAAATTCTATAGAACAGTTCAACTCTGCCACACATGGAGTTGCTATGTATAAGGACATACATTTTATATGATATTTGTCATGTAGTGTTTTCCTTAGTGTGCGCATACAAGACATCTCCCTAGCGATAAAGCAAAAAAAAATAAATTGTTTC